CATTGTTGCGACTGAAAATAGATATGAAGAAATAGGTTTATCACTTTACGTAACTATAATTTGCAGAAATTGTATTTAACCGTTTTATGATTTTTATTAAATTTGCATTAATCGACATCATGTACACTGAGGATGACCTGACAAATAGGTCGAAACATATGTGTTTTTAAGAATTTAAATATTCTGAAAAATTTAGCTCTTAGCATTTCTGTTATTCATTTTTGTTTAAATACTTAAATTTACTTTGTTTAAATACTAAAATTTAGAAAGAATTAAAAATATATATATATATATAACGAATCAGCACATGGAAAACGTTGCGTCAGTTGAACATGTTCGTTCCTGTTTTATCTCTCCTTTCTTTCAAGTAATAGTCTCCTAATCTTGAAAATTTTCGTAAAGGATCATAAATATTAAAAAAAAACTTTCATTAAGATGTCGGAGACACAGGGTCGTGCAACAAAAAATGACCCTCATAAAACTATTTGCTATTCATGTCCACTGTTCGTGTCTTGCCCCTTCCCCACAAAAAATGCTACGGTCCCAATTTCCCATTCACCTTTTTCCGGACTTCGCATTCCACTTTGTCAGAGATCCTCTACCACTCCCTTCTTCAATCACCTCGAAAAAGGTTATGGAGTGGACCAATCAGATCTTTGTCATCTATAGAGCGAATCATAAGAACGCTCCATTTAATTAATTTATTACTCATCTCTTCATCTCTGACTAATCAGAGCCCACCATCCTTCCAGACAGACTACGCCCATGTTGGCAGGAGTGGCGTGGAAGGGGTTTGTTTTGATGCGCCATATCTTCCCTATTATTATTTATATAGATAACACATCGTATTAACAATTTTATTGAATTTTAGCTATTAGAACTTTAAAATTTTTAATTCAATAAACAGGCAAATGAGAGTAAACTGCGCGGTTAAAAATGTGTTATAATAAACTATATATATTCTGTAATTCAAACGTGTAAACAATAATTTTCCATTTTCGGACGTTTCGACTGACTTCCCATTATTTGCAACGAATTATTATAATAACACAGATTTTTAAAGATTTTTAAACACAATTCATCCTGATAATTCCTCAACGATTGCTTAATGAACGAGTCTTCTCAATTTTTTTTTTCTGTTGGAGAAATACTGCCGTTAACAACGTTGGTCCAAATAACGTAAATGCAAGAGGAAAAGAAGTAGAATTTTAATAGTTGTAGAATTTTAATAAATAATGTTTAAAAATGTTATCATTATATGACTTGTCAGATTGGATAGTAAACGTATAAATATTAGGTGTACAACTTTGTTTCCGCCGTTTTTTTCCGAAATTCGAAGCTTTATTGTAAAAAACTGGTTATACATTTATGATTCAAAGTATTGTCCATCGCTGGCCATTACTTTCTCTTTCGGATAGCGTACGAATCCCGCGTCGAAAAAACTGGTCATCTTTTGAGGCTATCCACGAATCGATCCAATTTTTTACTTCTTCATAAGACTGGAAGTGCTGGTCAGCCAGGCCGTGTGCCATTGATCGAAACAAGTGATAGTCAGAGGGAGCAACGTCTGGAGAATACGGCGAGTGGGGTAGGACTTCCCATTTCAACGTTTCCAAGTATGTCTTGACCACTTTCGCAACATGGGGTCGAGCATTGTCATGCTGCAAAATCACTTTATCGTGTCTCTCGTTGTATTGCGGCAGTTTGTCTTTCAATGTTCGGCTCAAACGCATCAATTGCGTTCGATACCGATCGCCTGTGATTGTTTCAGTCGGTTTTAACAGTTCATAATACACTACGCCGAGCTGGTCCCACCAAATACAGAGCATGACCTTGGATCAAAATCACTTGAAGCGTTGAAATCACTCAGGACACGTTCTTTCACTAATAGCGGCCTCACCATAAATATTTGAAAGCATTCGATGACCCTCAGCCGCATTTCTTCATATTGAAGCAAAAAATTAAAACCTTCCGCAAATGACGAGAATTTGGCTCGTAAACTGACATTTTCGAGAATAACTTTATGATGCAGACATAAATCAACTAATGTTTCTATGGGGTTATGTTGACAGATGCCCAAGTTTATTGTATGACGTCTATGATCTATTTATTTCGACCACCACTTATCGCTAAAGCCATCTATAAGAAAACGGCGGAAGCAAAGTTGTACATCTAATATATGTAAGAACCTAAGAATTTATGAGATCATGTAAAAACATAATACCTTAAATGTCAATTTCATGTATAAGATCTTACATGACAACTAATTCCTATGAGTTCTTGCGACATATTATAAAATCATATAATATCCTATATTTTCTTTAAACATATAATATGCTATTATAAAACATATAAAAACTTATGAGATCATATAGTAGCACAGAAGAACTTTAATATGCCAATTTCATGAGATTAATCTTATATGAAAATTTCATGCAAGAATTTTCGGCAGAATACCAGAGTTACCTTAATTCAATTTCAATGTTATTATTATTATTATCAAAATTAATCGAGCGATTCAATTTTTTTAGTAATCAAAAATTCTAGGATTTATCGATAATAATTTTAGAAAATAAAATTATATATTACAACATTGAATTCACACACATGTATATGTCTATTTTTTTTAATAGAACTTTTAATAGAACTGCGAAATACTCTGCTGCAATGAGTTCCTATGAATTCCTATAGAGAACTATAAGATTCTACAGGAGCTTATGTAGTTACCTATAAAATTTGCGCGGCATACATAGGTAAGCATTCATAGGAATGCAAATAAATTAATATAGGTATCCATAGGAATATGGACAAATGCCTCATGAGAACTAAAAAGTCTATAGAATATCAGTTTGATGTACAGTAATACATAAGCGTATGTAAGATAAAGATAAGATGCCCCATGAGAATTAAAAATGTCTATCATAGGATGATATATATACATCTCCTCTGTCCTATGTACACTTATATATTTCTATACGTCGAAGTGTAGTATCCTATAGACTTTTAGTTCCCATGAGGCATCTTTTCCACATTCCTATGGATACCTATATCAATTTGAGAGAATAATTCGTAACTCCTAAAAACTGGAAGCCATGATAATAGTTAATAAACGAAGTATGTTCCACGTCGAGAAAAAAATCCTGACTGCCATAAGGAAAATATACTATGACTACTCATGACTTTTTTGAATCACCAAACACACCTTGTTTATCACGTAACTTTCAGTTTTGGAGTTATTTGCAATTTTCGCAATTATTACTCAATGAGCAGAATGTTTAAAATCAACGCATGAGACAATTTTAAGATATTTTTAAGAGTTCTTTGAAAACATCTTTAAAATATGTCATAAAGAACTCTGAAAAATATCTTAAAGTTGTCTTATGTGTCGATTTTACTCGCTTATTCGGCAATCTTTAGAAACTAACTATTGAAAACTGTGAAAATTGCAAAATGATACAGGATTTTTCAACTCAGTTTAGTCTACTTTATCTGCACATGAAAATAATCCCTAATACGGGACATCTTATAACATTTAGGTCTGATTGCATTAACGAACACATCATTCTTTTTCCTATAGCATCCTACAGAAGCCTCTTTTCATGAACTTTTCATGCCACAAGTTCTTATGTAAAATCTTATAGAAAAATTTCTTATGTTATCCTACATATACATGCTGCGTAATCTTATAAGTATCTATATAAGCTCCTACAAAATCTTATAGTTCTCTATAGGAACCCATGAAAAAACCTAAGGGAATTTACAATAAGAATAGGAGCCTCCTTCCATGGGGCATGACTAGTTGAATTTACCATGGGTATCCATGAGGCAAATCCATAGGAAAATTCTCCATAAGAATTTGCAGCAAGGTAGAGAATACGTTATACTAAAGTCATCTAAACAGGGTTTTTGTAATAAATCGTCATATTTTGAGAGGTTAAAATCATTTAATGCTGATTGATATGATGGAATCGCATAATGTTGAGACGATTGAAGCAAAATGACAAAAATCTAAGTGCATGAATATAGATATCAAGATCAAAAAACAAAATGACGCATTACGTGCAACTTCAGCACGTATATAATATGTTCTGTTAATATGTTCTGTTAATATAATGCGGAAAAATGATAGTAAATGCGTTAAAACACTTCAAAAAATTGTTATGAAATTGTAAATATTAATTATAAAATATTAAATACTACAACAGTGATAATTATTTTTACAATTTGAGAAATTATAATATATTTTGTTTTAATAAGCAAATTATTAACATAAAGTTAGTAGTTTTTAAATTATATTTTTCCCGGATGCATCTTTGATGCATCATGTGAACATAGCACACAAAACTTGTAATGGAAAATTGCTAATTAGTAGCTTCGATAAAATTCTCTATTCCAGCATTTCGCAGTCCTATTATGTACCGATTTCACTCTAACTCTCATTGCACTAGATGCAGAAGTTTGCTATATTTCTATGTTCCGAAACTCATAAAAAAAAATGTTGCAAACCTGGTTCTAACCACAACCATAAATTCATGATGTAAAAATATAAGGTGTATCATTGCGCATAATGGCAATACTGGAAATAACCAATCAAATTTTATCCTCTATGTACTTTCCTGCGTATAATAACGCTGGCATATTGAAATAGCCAATCAAATTTTGCCCAAAATTCACTCTCTTACTGTGCATCCTCAGGAATGATACACTTACCGATTAAAAGGTTGCAACACTTTCTTTTAAATGAGTTTCGGAATGCAGTCTCACTGAGCGATTGATTCTTACTTACGGATTTGTAAGTAAGGACCAATTGTTCAGTGAGTAGGCATTCCGAAAACCATAGAAAAAAATCTGTTGCCATTTTAGTCAGTGAGTGTACACCTTATTTTCTTACATCATGTGTATGTACCCATATATAGATCCCCATGACAGAAAAAATTGAGATCAACAGATCCAAATTAAATCTCTCAAAATAAATTAAATCGCATATCCTTTGAGTTTACAATTTGCGTTTCCGTGGATCGCGGAAACTCATCGAAGCTGTCCTCATGCCCATCAATCACCATCGGATCATCTTCCACTTCGATGTCCTCCACTTTAATGTGATCCTCCATCGCATCGATGGTCGAGTGTTTTGGTAGAAAAGGAATCACTGATGGTTCTTTAATGTATTCGGTAGTGTGCACTCTAGTTTCAATATGGCATCGTTGCATTCGCGTCTCAACCCTGGTATAGAGGTTACAGTTACTCTCTTGGTTTTTCGATTCCCCAGAGAGACCACGTATTTCCAAATCGGTGGCAGTTTTTATCAACGAGGGAAGGTGCTCCTCTGCTACATCAATGGATCCTTTGTACATGAAATCCAAAAGACATTCCATTTCCTCAACAGCGACACCTAGGCGGTAAAAATGTAGTATGTCAGATACATTTCAATTTCCTTAAAATTGTAAGTTTTCAAAAAGATGATAGACACTTCAAAATAGAAAGATTTCGAAGTAAATATAGGGACAAAATTCTCTTTTTCTCTCTTGTATGATTTCCAAAGTTTATTTTCGCGTAATATATACCACTATACCTCAGAAAAAGTAATAGGTAAGCCTCCAAAGAAGTTTTACAGAAGGCTACAGCTTTTTTTATAAAAGAATAGAAGCTTGCCTCCTTATGCCCGCTGAATCGCAAGTTTTTATGAAATCCAACTTTCATGAAAAGATTTCACTATTATGCAACACTTACAACACTTTCTCTATCTTTCTTTCTTTCTTTCAGATAAAATATCTAACATTAAAAAAAAACACAAACTCCTTCTTTAAATCTTAATATCTATTTAATATCTATTTCTTCTTAATATCTATTTAAAAAAACGTTATCAATATATCGTCGAAGCATAACCAATGTATACCTTTTAAAATGAGAATGGGTTGCTCTCCGTAATGTTCCTTAAAGACCCTTTCGAAATAAGGGCTGCACGCTGCTAGCACCAACCTGTGGGCTCTTAACATGCCACCCTGGCAAGCCAAAGTCGCGTCCGTCAAGGAGCCACTTTTGTAAAGAGTTTCGAATAAACCCGACAGATTCGCCAGATGATTGTTCCACGTAAGGTTGAACGTCTTTTCACCCATACTCTCTTTTATCGAGTATTATTTATTAATCTGTATTATTTATTAATCTGAAATATACAAAGATTTCATATTTTCTCAACATCATAGTAGGATAAACATATTTGAAGACAAAAAAGTTTTTTTTGTAAAATGTATTGTATATATGTACATATTAGGATGGTTCATCTTTCTCTTGAAAAAAAAAATGATTTTTTTCGAATTTTTGTCGCGGCACCCTTCAAAATGGTTCCAATCCGCAAAAAAATAATTCCTGTTAAATTTCAGCTCAATCGGACAACGGGAATCCGTTAAATATTTGAGCTCTCTTACATTACATTATCAATCATTACATTATCAACATTGATTTTTAAAACGTATTTCTACAAAAAACTTTTCACAAAAATATAGATCTAGAGAATTTTTCTTTTCTTTTTTAACATATATTTCTTACTTTTCTGCATCGTTTGAAACCTTATACGTCTCATTTAATACAATAAATTGTTAATGATTAAGAAATAAAAATAAATAGTTTAATTTCGGCATATACATCACTGGGTAGACATTTTCTGATATTTGATTTTTCTTTTTAGGATACTATCTAAAATTAATCCAATTTAGTATTTACAGATATAATAGTATTTATAGGTATTTAGTATTTATAGGTATAAATATTTATAGATAGTCATTATTTAATTAATATATGTTGTCAAGGTCCAGATCATCGGAGTTGAGTCCCCGGAATTAAATAATTACTACCTATATTATAACCCTGAATGACTTCCGACAGATTTTAGTTGGCGATCTTCGTTAAAAAGTTATTAATAGTCAAAGTTAGTTATTATTTCTCTGCTTTATATGGAGAATCAAATAGCTCTAGATAGGAAAAAAGATATGAACCTATATATATCCGTATAGCAAAATGTTAGCAGGATGTCGACAGACTGATAGCAGATTTAATCAGATGTTCAAAGAATAGCAGACTGACCACAACTGATGTCGCATTCTGCTCCTGTTCTGCCGACAGAACATTCTATACAAACAGACTGGCAGCAGAAATCAAACCGAATCTGCTGACAGAATCTGATAGCAGATTGCGAGGAGAAATCGAGCAAGATCATTTTCATTTAAATCGATCTAGTTTCTTATAAAAAATTTTGCGTACATATATATAAACGGTTATATATAATTATATATTTATATATACTATATGAAAACTGGAAACAATTAATACAGTTTTAAAATATTATTGATTAACTGTGCTAAAATATTATTGATTAGCTTCACATTTCAAAATACACATGAGAAAATTATAAAATAATAAAAAAAAAGATATTTAGAAAGTACATTACGAAAGAGCTTGGGAATCTCTAGGAGATTTATCTGTTCGATTTACATACGCCAATGCTTATAGGATTCCTGGACGTTTTCTTCTTATGAGAAGCAAGTCCATCTCGTGGCGAGGCCGTATATAAAAATGGCAGATCTTGCTCGGTTTCTGCTGTCAATCTGCTATCGAGTTATACCAGCAGGCTCTGTTCGGTTTCTAGTCGCAATCTGTTTTCAGGTCTGTTCAGTTTCTGTTATCAATTTGCTGGCGTAGCATGTCACATTTTTGACAGCAGTTTACTGACATTGTCTAATAGTATAAACTCTGTACAATTTGTTGCCTTTCTGCAATCAGAAATTGGTAGCAGACTGCTAAAAATCTGTCTTCAAATTTGGCTGAGTATATGTATAGGATAGGACCAGGTATTATGAGTACCTTAAGGAAACATTTTAATATATTTAGCATGTACTGAAAAATAAAAAATCTTATGCATACCATTTGAAAGATTTATTGATGTTTTATGTATCTTAGTATTGATTATTTTAATGCAAATATTGAAATAGTATTCTTATTACCTGCCTAGTGCTCATATTACCCTCTGAGTAGATAATATGAGCATTTTTAGAAATAATATGAGCACAAGAAATTTTATATAAAAAATTATGCAGAAATGAAAGATTGAACATATACATAACATTTTATTAGAACAAATGCCAAAATCGTTTGATTAATATAATTAAAAAATAATATATTACATTTACAAATATTTAATAAATATTGCCAAATGGTAACAGTTTAGTTAGTAATACTTATTAAATATTTGTAAAAGTAACATTATTTTTTGTTATATTAACCAAACATTTTATGAATATTATTTCATCATACATTTAATAGCTATTACCAAACTCTAAGAAAGTCCACCACTGCTAAAAATATATACAATGTTTGTTAAAATATCTTATCTCAATGTAGACAGGTCATAAAATAAAATTAGAGAAAAAAACATAAGAAATAAAAAAATAACATATCTACTTATTTAATATAAATAACATATCTACTTATTAAATATCCGAAGTACATAAATTTAGCTCAAACTTCGCAGCATTGGAATGTCGCAAAGACAGATGCATCTTTTTACAGTTGGCACTACTATTATCATTACAGAAATAAAAAGATGTTCATATTATCTACAACGTAATACCCGATCCTATTCTATATATATGTATGTCCAGCGGCAGTTTTCGAGACTTTTTTCAAATTGTATTCCAGGACATTTGGCATTTTCCAGGATTGTCCTGGAAAAATTTTATGCCCTAAGGCAGGTCCTAGAAGTCTTGGAATCTGCCATATGAACACAATGGCAAATTCTGTATATTTAAATGTACGTTCAAATGTATATACATTTGCTTATACAAACTCGGAATGTCCCGAATACGCATATTATGACAGATTTTAGATCGGTCTGTATATTGAAATGTACATATATAATACAATCGGTCACTAAAAAGTTTTAACACTTTTTCTTCGATGAATTTTGCAACTATTTTATGATACGTCAGGCTGATTGAATTCATCAGCGCGACGAATAATAAAACGGTTGCAAAACTATTAAGTCTGTTGAATGCAACCAATTACTCGGTGAGCAATCGGAATTCCGAAATGCATCGAAGAAAAAGTGTTACAACCTTTTAGTGCTCGGTTATATGCATATTTCAATGTACAGACCCGAAATGTACCATAATACATTTTCCAGATTCCAGGACATCTTGGAATTTTTCATACATATATATTGGGAGTACAAATTAGTTTGGTCCGTTTCCCTAAAGATTGCTCCAGCTGTTGTGAATGGTTCATAGTGATAGCTGATTTTGGCAGTTTCAGAGAGGTTAAACATCTGCTAATAATATTCTAAGTTTATATCGCTTTGAGTTTCATACAAAAACCTTGATTTTTACTGTGTTTGAAATGTCGAATTTTGTGTTAATCAAGCAGCATTTGCGGAAGGTTTTGATTTTCTGCTTTAATTGGAAGAAAAGTGGGCTCATCGAAGCCCATCGAATGCTTGTCGAAGTTTATGGTGACACTGTTCCAACTAATAAATCATATAGGGAATGGTTTCGAGGATGAAGATTTCAGCATTGAAGACAAGCCTCGCTCTGGACAGCCAAAAAAATTCGAAGACAAAGAATTAGAGGCATTACTCGAAGAAGATCAGAGTCAAACGCAAGAGGAGCTTTCAGAATCATTGGGGGTAACTCAACAAGCCGTTTCTGTACGATTGAGAGTCATGGGAATGATTCAAAAACAAGGAAATTGGGTACTTTATGAACTGAAACCGAGAGACGAAATTGAAATTTTTCACTTGCGATTTTTCACTTGCGAACAGCTAAAGACAACAGAGAAAAAGTTTTTTGTATCGGATTGTGACTGGAGATGAGAAGTGAATATTCTACAACCCCAAGAAGAAAAAATATTACGCCCGATCAATCGTTTCCATCGATCTCAACATCAATACCACGAACATTCATGGTTCGAAGATCATGCTCTGCATCTGATGGGATCAAAAGAGTCTTATTTACTATGAGCTGCTGAAACCTGGCGATTCCATTACGGGCGATCGGTATCGGCTACAATTGATCCGTTTGAGCCGTGCATTGCGAGAAAAACGGCCGAAATACGAGCAAAGACATGATAAAGATATTTTTCTTCAACGCTGACAACGCTCGGCCTCATGTCGCTAAAGTCGTAAAAAAATATTTGGAAATATTTTACCGCACCTGCTGTATTCTCCGGACATTGCTCCTTCTGATTATTGATTGAAAGATGCAGCAAGTCACCGGTTCACTTCTTTCGCAGAAATCGAAAATTGGCTCCAAAATTGGATCACCTCCAAAGACGAGTCATTTTTTCGAGATGGAATTCGAAAATTGCCTGAGAGATGGGAAAAAGTAGTAAGCAGCGATGGACAATACTTTAATCTGTTCATTTATTTTATTTTGAAATAAATGCACAAAAAAACGGATCGAACTAATTTGTACTTCCAATATATACTGTATCTTTAGATATACACGGATAATGGAATGTCTAATAGCAAATTTTTATCCTGGAGGTTTTGCTAACGGCATATTAGATTTTTTTAATGGGATCCTTCATCCGGAGTCCTAATATATCACTTATCTGCCATTTTTTATAGCAAATTTTGGGTCTATATAATGTATATATTGGATTGCACAGATTCGGAATCCACCATACATATATATTACGTATACGTATGATTTCGTACCTGTACATCGAAATGTACATACAGCCACCAAAAGGTTTGTAACAATTTTTCTTCGATAGCAAGAAGCGAGAAAATATTTTTACGTTCGGTTTGTCTGTTTCCCAGTAAGACATTGCATAAAAAACAATTTACAATCCTCGACTATGTATTATTGCTCGACATCATATATTGACTACTGTTTATCTTAAGATAATCAGTACGTTTTTTTTTTCCTTCCGTTACAAGGAAAAGAAAAATTTTGATTAATTGATTCTTTTAACACTATGCATTATGTGTTATGTAAAAGTGTATGCTACGACTAATAAACTTATGATTATTTATACTACATATTTATACTATGTTTAATGTACATTGGATTGTACAAACTCGAAATCTGCCATCCATATATTATATGTTATGGCAGATTTTGAA